TTTATAGAATTCCCATGGTGTGGAAACATGCCATTTGGCCCAACAAGTCCACACCAACCCTCCAAAGAGTATCCCTCCCAGACCCAGACCCAGACCCATCCCCCTACTCTATAACACTGCACTTCCCATGGCCATCACACCTAACCTATACCTCCCTGAACACCATGAGTAATTTAGCATGGCCAATCCACCTAACTTGCACATCTTTGGACTGTGGGAGGAAACGGGAGCACCCGCCAGAAACCTATGTAGACACTGAGAGAACATGCAAACTCCACATAGACAGTCGCCCGAGGCTGGAGTAGAACCCAAGTCTCTGGTGTTGTGAGGCAGCAGTGCTAACCACTGATCCACTGTGCTGTCCCGTGGAAGGTTCTAAACAGCTACCATCCTTTGTACATAGAAGAACTTCCTAACATCTTTCTTGAACAATCTGGCCCTAATTTTAGAATCCCCAATCTGTAGATAGTTTATCTTTATCTACCCTGTCTTTTCTTGTTAATGTCTTAAAGATTATGATTAGGTAATCTTTTAACCTTCTAAATTCTAGCGAAAACCAGACCTAATTTGTACAATCTCTCCTCATAATTTAATCCCTGAAGTCCAGGTATCATTCATGTACACCTACATTGTACTCCCTCCAAGGTCAATATAACCCTCCTAAGGTGTGATGCCCAAATGTGCTTTCGTTGTTCCAAGTGGGGTCTCACCAGGGTTTTATACAACTGCAGCATAACTCCTGTATCCTTCTATTCCAGTCCTGTAGTTAAAAAGACCAGCATCCCATTAGCTTTATTAGTTATTTTCTGCACCTGTTTGATATTTTAAAGATCTTTGCGCCTGAACTCCCCAAGTCTCTTAGGACATCTGCTGTATTTAACTTCATACCATTAGAAAGTTCTCTGATCTATCCTTTCTCTGTTCAGAATGGATAACTTCACACTAGCTTACATTAGATTTCATTTGCCACACTTTTGACCATTCAACTAGTCTGTCAATATTGCTTTGAAATTTTATGCTACCATCTACACTGTCTACAGTGCTGCCTAACTTTGTATCATCAGCAAATTTGGATATATAACTTTCAATGCCACTATCCAAGTTGTTAATAAATAATGTGAATAATTGAGGCCCTAACACAGATCCTTGTAGTACACCATTGGTCATATCTTGCCAATTTGAGAACCTCCTCATTATCCCTGCTTTCTGTCACCTGCCACTCAAACAATTTCACAGCCATGTCAGTAATTGCAATTCAATGGGCTTCCACCCTATAACAGTCTGTTATGTAAAACTTTATCAATAGCCTTCTGGAAGTCCGTATAACCAACATGCGTAGACATTATTCTGTTCAATACCTTAGTCATCTCTTCAAGAAATTTAGTGACGGTTGTCAGGCATGACCTACCTGTCATGAATCCATGCTGGCTGTCCCTGATTAACTGAAAATTTTCAAGGTGTTTAGTTACCACATCTTTGATTACAAACTCCAACAATTTCCCCACCGCAGATGTTATAGAGTTATAGAGTCATAGAGTCATAGAGATGTACAGCATGGAAACATACCCTTCTGTCCAACTTGTCCATGCTGACCAGATATCTTAAATTAATCTAATCCCATTTGCCAGCATTTGGCCCAAGTCCCTCTACACCCTTCCTACTCATGCACCCATCAGATGCCTTTTAAATGTTGTAATTGTACCAGCCTCAACCACTTCCTCTGGCAGCTCATTCCATACGCGCACCACCCTCTGCATGAAAAAGTTGCCCCTTAGCTCCCTTTTAAATCTCTCCCCTCTCACCTTAAACCTATGCCCTCTATTTTGGACTCCCTTACCCTGGGAAAAAGACTTTGGGTGTTTACCCTAACCATGCCCCTCATGAACTTATAGACCTCTATAAGGTCACCCCTTAGCCTCCGCTCCAGGGAAAATAGCATGAAGAGGCTGATTATTGAGTATGAATGGGAACAGCAACTGATCTTGAGCAGTCCCTGGGATCGAGGATGACTGTTTCCACTCTCATTTGATGGGTTCTCGGGTGGCTGAGAAGCTGAATGCACAATCTGCATGCAGTTTCTTCTGCCTATAGAGCAGGTGATGTTTGAAAGATTCAGTGGATTGATTGTTTGGAGGTTCAGGCACTTGCCCTGATGCCTCGACTTCACCTGTGCATGTTCCCAATAAAGACTATTTATGTGTTTGGTGCCTTCCCCTGAATCATCCTTCTTCGTTTTAGCTGGTCACAACATCTTTCCTAGGTTTCACAAGTTTTGATAAGTTTGCATTAATCTTTTCTTTTTGTTACATTTTCCCAACAGGGGCTGTCTAATCTGGTTATTGTATTCTTTTAAGAAAAGAGAGGGCAGCCCAGTTCCCAGGGATGCAGGGTAAAGAAGGTTCTCGCGCACGCGTGGTCTGACCTACCCTAGCTTCTTATTCAGGAAGCATTAGTCCTTCAGGGCAGCAAGTTTCACCCGAATATTGTCCTGCTGCTTCATGGCGATGAGGTTAATGGTAGGGACCACAATTGGGTCCTGTTTCAGTTTAGCCTCAGTGTTTTTCAAATCATTTTAGACTAACTGGTGTATAATTCCTTAGATTTCCTCTTTTGTCCTTCTTAAAAAGTGGAGTGATGTTTCACTGAGAAAGTATCATTTAGTGTCTGAAAGAAGACATATCATGTGAATTGCAAATTGGCACAAGGTGTTCAATGATCATCACATTACAATTAAAGTATCAGGATTTTCATGAAGGCCCTGTATTTGCTGATTCCACAGACTGATAGACTAAGATAGCATAATAATGCCTGAATTGCATATTTCTCCTCATTTAATGTGAATTACCCAAATTAGGGATTTCCAGACTATTAAAACCAGCAAGCCAAGCTGCATTATTCTGTCACAATGCTAGCCCTGATGCAAATTCAGTCTGTAAGCAAAGATTTAGAAGCCCAACACAACAAAACTAACACTCCAAATATACAGAAATCACATCGTTTGAAGTCACCTCCAGCTCCTCTCCAGCAAGTATCTGGTACTGAAGAATGCCCAGTGCTCAAAAATACCAGCAAACTTATTCTCCCACTATCTTTACTATTATACTTACCCATCTTTCAAACTTGAAACGTGGGAAGATCAGGCACAGCTCTTTCAACTTCCTGAGTTAGAAGAAGATTACTGCAAAAAGACATGCCACTGTTTGGTCTCAACCCAGCAGTAGGAAGGTAGTCTCTTCCATTATTCAGGGCTGGAGAACACAAAGGACTGCAGTTCAGCCTTTCCTCTAGCAACTGCTTAATATCAAGTAAACTGTGCCAATTTTAACTGCATTAGTTTCAGTTCCAAAACAGATTTGAAATTTTGTCTTGTAAACATTAAGAAATAAGAAGTTTAATGGCAAAGGTCCCATGAGCTGGATTTGACCAGTTGGCTGTTTGTTGAGCACAATCCAACACTTTTTTTAAGGCATGTGATGTGGGTTCTCAGTCATTTACCACTGCTGTTATTTTATGATCATTCAACGGAAAGAAAGACAGGCTGTCTGAAAGTATTTCTAACTAAAGGTGTTGCGCTTTACAGCCTGGCTTGACTTGATAGGATTTGTCCTGCGCACCCCCAACACCAGTTTCATCGAAAGCCAATATTAACTGTTAGCCTGCCTCTTTGTTATGAATAGTGCTTGAATAAATGGACAGTATCAGTAACAGCAGCACTAAACCTGTGTAGCCTATTTTCATTTTGTCATCTAATTTTCACCATGGAGACTAAAACAGGGAATAAACATTAACAGTTGGTGCCAGTGTCCACTTCTTTACTAGCGGCATGTTAATTAGTACTGTTGCAAAGAAAAATCTGTTCACACTACTTCAGTGGCCTGCCATATGGTTAGAAGATGAAGAATTGTGCTATTGGTTATTAGACGGTACATGCAATAATAATGTCTTGTATAAACTGAATTGTATTGTGCAGTAATTCAGAGGGAGTCAAGCATAGCAGAGAGATGTGCAAGCCTCTTGTCTTTTTAAATTACATAGTTCCATATCATGGATTATCAGGTGCTGCATATGAAGTACAGATTAAAATTCTGTTCTCTCATGTTTTTAATTCAAAACAGCCTTGATGTTTCAATTTAGTAGATTAGATGCCAAGGACAGATCAAGCAGAACAACAGATGGGCAAATACGAAGCAACTATTGGCTTCAAGGGCTGGATTGGCTCACAGGCTGCAGTATGAACTACTCAAGTATAAAGGGCTTTCTGTTTTCAAATCCTTTAATTCCATGGGAGTGTGGTATGAAGGACCAGCATTTGAAACATTTGGAAAGCATCTAATCGCATATATTTAGAAAGTCTTTTTAATTGTTTTGAAGTCATATATTGATCTGTCTCTCCACCTTGAAAAGTTCAGTTGGTCTTTATTGGCATGTGATGCTCTGAGGGTATCAAGTTCCACAGTGTTGTAACTGTGATCATTGTGTGATCCATATCGTTCTTAGAGGTAGGGATTTGCTGGTATGTTTTCTTCTGCTAGAAGCACTTTTTTATTTCTTGCTACTTCCTGCCCTACAGCTGCTTTGATGTCATCTCACTGACTTCCATGTCCCCTTCAGAGCCATGAAAATCCAGCTCGGAGGGCAGGGTCCTGACTTGTCTTTGTTTTTTTTTCTTGACCTCCTCTTTACTATCACTGTCCCAGTACAAATGAAGAACTGGCTCCTCTCTCCCTGTTAGGAAAGTATCCAACCCTTAGACCATCTGGGGACTGTGTGGCCCAAGGCCAGCAAGAGTTCAAAACCTTCCCATCAATTCTGTAGATCCGAAAGTATCTGTGGATACGATAATGCCTCTGCTCTCCAAATCATTGCAAATTTAATCTTCACTTAAGTCCTTTTTAAAAAAAAATGTCTGTTACAAATAAATATGTAATCCATTTTAGGAAACTAGTATAGTATTTCTAATTAATACCTATGTTTACAGTTGAATTCTATTGAATTTTCAGTATGTTATAAAGAAGTTGAATCTAAGAAATGTTTCCAGTCGTGAGCGCAAGGCAGCAGAACAAGAAGCCCAGCTTTTATCCCAGTTGCGACATCCCAACATTGTTACTTACAGAGAGTCATGGGAAGGAGATGATGGATTTCTATACATTGTGATGGGTTACTGTGAAGGTGGAGATTTGTACCACAAGCTGAAGGAACAGAAGGGCAAATTGCTTCCAGAAAGTCAGATCGTGGAGTGGTTTGTCCAGATTGCTATGGCTTTACAGGTAAACTTCTATAGTGGAACAAAGAAATAAGACAGATTGAAAAGATAAAAATGTAATGCTGCACTAGGGGAGTTTGCATTTTAATACCTCAGCATTGGCCAAGATACAATCTCTATAAAAACTGAAATGATGAATTATTCGTTCAGCAGCCATCCCTTAGCACATTTCCACTGTACTGCATCCCAAAAGATTATGGGTTTGTGAATATGTAAGTCAATGTGTGTGCAAATCCATCATTCAAATAACTTAGTATAATTGTAAATATGAAAAAGTCCAATTTATCATTGAGTTAGATATTGGCATTAATCCACCAGTTTAGGATTGTTCTGCGTGCTTTTTTTTCAGATGGGATATTATGATTTTTGTGTCTGTAAATTCTGTGCCCGACTGACTTAATGCACAGCAGGTATTTTGTACAGCACTGGGTAAATCATAAATACTCATGTTTTAGATACTTGTGGCTCGAGCATAACAGTTGGAATGGAAAATATTGTACTGTGAGTCAATTGTATACTTAACACATTCTGTCTTCTTTTTAATAGTATTTACATGAAAAACATATCCTGCACAGAGATCTTAAAACTCAAAACATCTTCCTAACAAAAACAAATATCATTAAAGTTGGAGATCTGGGTATAGCCAGAGTGTTGGAGAGCCAGCATGATATGGCCAGTACCTTGATTGGGACACCTTATTACATGAGTCCTGAACTCTTCTGTAATAAACCATACAACCATAAGGTAGAGTACTGCTGGATAACTTTATTGTGCAAC